GTAGGTGGTCCAACACGCATCTAAGGCAGTGGACGTACCGCTCCTTGACAGCAGTTGACAGGGAATGTACGCCACCCATGCAGGTTAATGCACCTATCTGGGGACGAGATACCAGTGATATATCAGCAAGTACAGATGAACTTTCATCTGTGTGAGACCAAGCTTTGCCTATTACACCATTCATTGCCTTTGGTCTCCTACCGGCTCTGCAGTGCCTTTGTTGTGACAAAAATCGTCCTCCCATGGGCGTTATTTAGGGCGCCTGTGGTCTGCCAAACATGAATAATATTAAGTAGGGAATGAAACAGATTGATATTCTGTGGACCCAAAGAAATATAAGTATTCCAGGTGCCAGTCCCATCGGTTCACACCTACTGCGCCCCGAAAAGCAATGGATCATGGTACATTGTGTCGGCTCGAGTTGCCAGAATGTTTTGGAGCGCCGGAATCGAGGTCAGTTGTTGTTCAGCAAAAGTCCCTATAAATTCCGAAATCACATGTCTCTGTTCCATTTGTGGTTACGAATTTGTTTATCAGACAAAGTGCAAACTCTTTAATTGAATCATCATATCAAAAAGACCATTTGCAACACTGTACCCTCCTGAAATCAGTGTTCGAAGTAGAAAAAAACTGAAACTGTCATTTGGGATGCAGGGAATTCTTATGCTGACATTTTTCGAACTAAAAGAAAATCTCTCGGAAATACCGACATTAAATCCACCATTGGTTGTTCTCTTCACGCCACTCCACATCATTGTGTGAAATGGCAATGTCATTACCACCCTATTCATCTCCCCACCTCTCCCTCCCCTGAAGAGTGGGTCTCGACGACTCCTTCTCTCAAAATCATACATAATTTTTCCGCACTAAGAGAACACATATGCGTGTGGGCCAAATGCCAAATACGAAGACTGCTCCAACGACTTAATACGACCCAGTTCCCTGGGTAGGGGACTCTCCAACGTACCGATGTCCACAGTTCACACACCTGGTTGTAACCTGCATGGGATCCTCGGTCCTGACAGTTATTAAAGGGCCTGATGTCAATT